AAAAAAAAAATTAGAAAGACTTAGCCAGTAAAATAATCAAAGCAGTCCATAGTGAATAGTAGATGAGCATAATCAATTTTAATCTAGTAGTTGAAAATATATCTCAACAATTTAAAGTATAAAGCAGCTAATCAACATGAATTAATCCCTGTTGTTCTTTATTGTGATTACCCAGTAAAGACGTCCACTGAGAATATTTTTAGTTAAGTTCTTTCTTATTAGGGCTGCATATAAATTATAATGTTTAATCAACTTCACTCATACCCTGAAGACTGTTTTTTCATTCAGTTTCACTGTATTCATTCATTGCCTGAGGAAGATTTATATAATTCCTGTATAAATCTGTAATGAAATCATTACCACTGTCTGGGTACTTCATTCTTAAATTAACTTTTCCATCTGAACTCAGATGTGTTTCAGTGTACGGGTTAATTGAACTCTGTGCATACTAGAGGCACAAGACCCATTGCCATTTAAATTAAAACCATTAAGTAAAATGTATTTTTATATTGCAAATGATTTCATTCCAAATGTTACTTTGTATTTGAAAATATGCTTCACTTAGGTCATTACTATAATTCAAAAATCTGTGAAGTGGAAAATTTTGTAATGCAGAAAAAAAAATCACAAGATAAATAGCTACATTTTCAGTTATCACTCAGAGATGAAATATTCTCATCAACATTGTATGTCACACATAAAATTATTTATACAACTATTAGATATGACAAAAAGGAAGGAATTTGTGTGCCCTTTTGCTTGTTAGTGTTGTTATACATGTAATCACTTTTTAAACATACCCCAAGAGCTTACAAATAAGAAACATATTTAAAAATGATCACTATTTCTTTTGCTTGTTCTCACTTTCTCGGAACTCATTCTACCCCTTCATTTATAGAATATAACCTTGAGCCTTGTGAAGATCCTGGAATTCCTCAGTACGGTAGCCGTGTAGGTTTCCACTTTGGAGTTGGGGATACTCTGACCTTCTCATGCTCATTGGGTTACCGACTGGAAGGTTCATCAGAAATCATCTGTCTTGGCGGTGGACGACGAGTGTGGAGTGCACCTCTGCCAAGGTGTGTGGGTACGTGGTCAGCTGCTTTCATTTGCTTGTATGTAGTCACTGTCCATGGAAATGCATGGTTATAACCTCTTCATTTCTCTATCCGTTGAACTTCTCCATTTATTCCACATTAGTTATTTCCTTTTATTTTTTCAATTTGGCAAGCCAGAACTCCTCAACTATTCTCCTGCTGCAGTCAAGCAGCCAATCTTCCAAATCTGTTTTCAGATAATGACAATGTATTACTGAGGAGATATGCAGTTAGAAGACACATGGATACAGAGGTAACAGACAGATTAAATGATAATCTGATAGAACAGAAAAAGTGTATAAAAACAAATGGAATTATTCCCTATTCTAAGGGATTTTATAAACTAGATTTATTGCCTGGAGAAACACCAGATTATACTCAAAATAGTAAGAGTTAAAAATAACATCTGGATTTCTGAATGATTTCTTTATTTCAGGGATTGTTGTGTCTGAATTACATGGCTAATCTCCTGTGTCCTCATAACTAAATTGTAACAATGATACATGAGACACTAATTTGAAAATAAGAAAGATGAAGCTTAGAAAATTAAACTTCCCATCATCAAATGGTCTGGCACTCTGAAACCCTCCTTGGACCATCTCCACAGAAAGCACTCACACACTGAATTCTTCTATTGTTTCAGTGGTGTATTTTGATTGAGGTTTTGAAAATATTTTACACCTTGAAATTAACATCTACAAAAATTTATATGGAAAATATGTCAAATCTCGAAGAGTAGGTTGCTTTAAAAGCTTTTAAGACATTTATTGACTCGTGACAAATGGACTAAGAATTGAGCTTCCATCTCAATTTTTAAAAATGAATGTTTAGTCTAACAAAAGGGCAGAATATCAGTGTAAAAAAAATTTTGTTTCATTATAACTCAAGAAATTCCCCATTTAAAGTCAAAACTCTGGAGGCAAGAAGAATCCCAGGAAACCAGCCCTGTAGTAGTGATCATTCTTCATTATTACATAGAGCAAGATAGAAAAGAACATTTTATCCTTATCTCATAAAGCACAGTGAAATTTCTCACAAAAATTAATTTTAATGTAATCGAATTTAAACTAATGTACTTGTATGACACAAATCTGCATAAGTTGTGTTGCAAAGTCAGGCATATTGATCTGTGGTTCAAACCCTGTCTCACTAACTGGTCTCAAAATGCGCCAAACATGAAAGCCTAAGCTAAGAGAATAATTGGTACACCTTACCAAATACATTTTTTAATCTAATACATTATAAAAAACAAGAACTTCTGAGCCCCCAAATAAGCCACAATGTGAACTTTTTTTATTGATTTTGTGTGTGTGTATTTCAAACAGAACATCCCAAACAGTTTTATTCATCTTTATACCTGCATCCAAAATAGCTCCCTCCCATTGTCTCCCGCCCCCCACTGGAGCCCATATACTCTGTCATCCCTGTTACTGTCCACTGTGTTATCAGTGGCCCCACCCATTCCCCAGTGCTTGTCCATCCACTGAATCTAGTCAACCTATCTAGAGTGCCTTGTTTTAGGAAGATCAGCTCTTCCTCATCTAGCAGCAATCAGTTGCCAATATTCCTTTAGACAAGATTGGGATATGCTGTTCATTTTCCCATTTCTATACTGGGTTACTGTCTGGGAGTCTCTTGGGCCACCCTGGCCAATAACTCAAAGGAAGGTATCTCCTGTCTGGCATTGTTTCTTGTTATGTAGCCTTTAGCTATACACATGGACTCTTAAGGGATTATACTGATCACTTTAATCTTTGGTTATACTTTCCTTTTGGGTGTTTAAGACCATATGGTTGGACAAGATTAACCAATTTATTTCTACTCTCAAGGTCGTTTGAGGATCTATTCCTCAGGTGTCACATGAGCTTGGTAGGAACCCCTGGCTCCTTTTACCAATTCCATCTATGTGAAGATAAGTCAAAGGTCCTGCTTGACCGTGGTTGGCTTCACTTGGAAGCATGGAAGAAATGATTCCTCTGACTTGACCCTCCTTTTTGTACACTGAACAGTGGTTCAAGTCCCTTTGGTGGGGTCTCCATGGGCTCCTTGATCAAAAGGACAGGTGATTCACCACAATATGAAATTTTAAGTTAATATGTACTGAATTATCCATATTTTATTTCCATACTTTAAAAACAGAATATGAAAAAGTAGTTAATAAGACAGATGTATTTTTCGCAGTCACATATTTTCATAGAAATCAACCAAATAACTACAAAGACCTAGCTTAAAGTTGCTGGGGGGGGCAGAGTAATAAGCAGTCAAACATTCAGAGTATCTTTTTGAGACAGTAATAAAAGCCACATTTCTTCTGGGGTAAATTATTACTGTTTTTGTTTGGGGGTTGGTTTTGCCTACAATTGCAAATTTGGAATTTTCCATCCCTTCGAAATTTTTTTCATTTCCAATTTTTTTTTTAATTTTTAAAAATGATTTATTTAATAACAACATACTTAGAAGAAGCATATCTTTACAACACGATTGACATATTCAATAACGGTTTCCTGAGGTAGGATGCATCTCTTTCAAAATTGGCTGTAAATTTTTAGGTTTACAGTTGAATTATTACA